GAGTCTGGGCCGAGCGCACGTCTGTCCCAGGTTCAATCCCTGGCATCCCCAGTTAAAAAGGACCAGGCAGGAGGTGATGGGAGAGACCTCCGCCTGAGACCCTGGAGACCCGTAAAGAGGGGCTGTGGCTCAGTGGCACAGCCTCTGCTTGGCATGCAGAAGGTCCCAGGTTCAATCTCCGGCATCTCCAGTTAAAAAGGACCAGGCAGGAGGTGATGGGAAAGACCTCCGCCTGAGACCCTGGAGAGCTATAAGGAGGGGCTGTGGCTCAGCGGTAGAGCCTCTCCTTGGCAGGCAGAAGGTCCCAGGTTCAGTCCCTGGCATTTCCAGTTAAAAAGGACCAGGGAGGAGGTGATGGGAGAGACCTCAGTGTGAGACCCTGGAGAGTCTCTGCCAGACTGAGTAGACAATACTGGTTTTGGTGGACCCAGGGTCTGATACAGTAGAAGTGTCCATGTGTTCAACTGGCCATTGCTATGGGGCGGAGGCAGGAGAGCCATGTGTATAGTCCTTGGAATGAGCCAGCTGAGGTTGAACAGATTGAACACGTGAAGCTGCCTTATATTGAATCCATTGGTCCAGGTCAGTATTGTCTACTCAGACTGGCAGCCGCTCTCCAGCTCTCTAGGTAGAGGACAACCATATGGAGCAGAGGTCCATCAGTGGCTATTACCCACAAGGTCTAGATGGAACACTCTGTCTGGGGCAAGTGATGCTCTGTCTTCATAGTGCTTGGGGGGGCAACACTGGGAGGGCTTTTAGAGTTCTGGCTCTGCTGGTGGACCTCCTGATGGCACCTGGGTTTTGGCCACTCTGTGACACAGAGTGTTGGACTGGATGGGCCATTGGCCAGATCCAACATGGCTTCTCTTATGTTCTTATGTCTGGGGCAGTGATGCTCTGTCTTCATGGTGCTTGGGGGGGGCAACAGTGGGAGGGCTTCTGGAGTTCTGGCCCCGCTGGTAGACCTCCTGATGGCACCTGGGTTTTGGCCACTGTGTGACACAGAGTGCTGGACTGGATGGGCCATTGGCCAGATCCAACATGGCTTCTCTTATGTTCTTATGTCTGGGGCAGTGATGCTCTGTCTTCATGGTGCTTGGGGGGGCAACAGTGGGAGGGCTTCTGGAGTTCTGGCCCTGCTGGTGGACCTCCTGATGGCACCTGGGTATTGGCCACTGTGTGACACAGAGTGTGGGACTGGATGGGCCACTGGCCTGATCCAACATGGCTTCTCTTACGTTCTCTTATTTTCTTATGTCTTGGAATATTAACTGTAAGGGGGTGGGAGAGCAAGCAGGAACTGAATCTGAGGGCCTGAATTTGTCAAACTCTGCCAGATTTCACTGTCCTTTCAAGAAAAGGGGGAGAAGAGAAAACTTCCAAGAAGCAAGCAGCTTTCCTCATCTAGTGCCCCGACCTGTTGGTTCTTGCGGTGAGTCATCGGCTGCCGTTCCAAACCAGACAAGAGGGACGCCGTGTCCTTGCCTTTCAGAAACCGTTTCCTGATACCCCGCTGCTCTCAGTATTAGCGTGAACAGTATGAGTGTCCCCCTTTCTCTAAACGCTTTAAAAAACATACCAAACAACAACAACAACGGAGAGCTCTTTTCATGCCGGGGAAAATCAGGCTTTGTCTCACGATCAGAGCATGGTTGGGCCGGGGGGGTACTTCAGTTGCACAAAATAGCCCAGCCGTACTTTTTTTCTTCAAGCACCCGACTTGTCAATATTTGGTGTACATTCTAATGTTCTGAGAAGTCTGTATCAATTTAATAAAAAATAAACACAATCTCAACAGGAAAGAGGAGAGTTTTAAAATAAATAGGGCATGGTTTCCTGTCCTGAAAAATACAAAAGGCTCTACAGCTGACAATAGCACTACAGATAAGATTAGAATTCCAACAGCCAGTCCACATGCAAAAGAACCTCCTCAGGAAGCAGGAAACTTCCTCAGGAAACAATCCATATACAAAAGAGCCTCCTCAGGAAAGCTCCTCCATTAGCCTGTTCATAGCCTGGGGAACTCCTGCAAGATAATGACTCAGCCCTACCCCACCTTCCTAAGTAGATATAAATTACCTGCCTACCATTTTTCTTCGTCTCACCTTGACACAGAGAGTCCTCCATCTTTCTGTGTTATACCTCTGAGGATGGCGGTCACAGCTACTGGCGAAACGTCAGGTTCTACAGTGCCAAGACCCCGGCCACACAACCCGGAAAACCTACAGCAGCTAATCTGTCTCAATTGTTCCACATCATGTCTGTCCAGATGAACACATGCAGGTACGCCAAGTCCAGCATCAAGAACGAGGGTCTCCAATGCGGTGCCCACGGACCCCTGTTCTGTGCCTACCAAGTGTTTTTAGAAAGTGTGGGCGGTGCCAGGTAGGACTCCCCCCCCAGCAGGGCTTCTGATTGGCCATTGGAGATCTGATTGGCAGTGCATATTAAAATAGCGTTCTTTCAGCAGCGGCTGATGCCACGGTGCTGGTTTCACTCTTTCGAATTCTTCTTTCCCTGTCTTTGAAAGCTGCCCTGAGCCTTGGCGGGGAGGGGGGGATACAGATTAAACAAACAAATAAATAAATCACCCCTCTTCTTCCCTGTTCTTGGGCTTCCTCTGTGCGGCCGGCTCCGCCTCTAACAGCGGCCATTTTGGGGTTGCCTCCGCCTCCCGCAGCCACCATTTTGTGGTGGTGCCCAACACCCTGTGTCGGAATTCCAAAGGAGCCCATAGGATCAAAAAGGTTAAAGGCTCTAAATTCATACTAACCTGGTCCCCTTTTCTGCGCTTTATGGCGGATTATGATCTCCTCCCCTCCACAATCAGTTACCAGTTTGGAGCCAGTTTGGTGTGGTGGTTAGGAGTGCGGACTCTAATCTGGGAGAACCCGATTTGATTCCCCACTCCTCCACTTGCAGCTGCTGGTGTGACCTTGGGTCAGTCGCAAGTTCTCTCAGGGCTGTTCTTTCATAAGCAGTTCTCGAAAGAGCTCTCTCAGGCCCACCTATCTTAAAGGGTGTCTGTTGTGGGGAGGGGAAGGGAAAGGAGACTGTAAGTCGCTCTGAGACTCCTTCTCAGGCCTCAGGCCCACCTATCTCACAGGGTGTCTGTTGTGGGGAGGGGAAGGGAAAGGAGACTGTAAGTTGCTCTGAGACTCCTTCAGGTAGTGAAGGATGTAGTATAAATCCAATCTCCTCCTCCTCCTCCTCTTCCTCTTCTTCTTTGGCTCCACCCACAATACACCCTTTGGGTGAACCCACTGTTGAGATCTCTCCCGGTTAACAGAGTCACTATACCGGTCATTACTTTCCTTTCTTATCTGCTAATATTAAGTGAACCTTCCGCTCTCTCGGTGATCCTTAATTTGACGTGTCTTTGGATATCGCATTATGCTTTACGATACCTTTTCCCTCATGGGTTATATCTTTTGTGTCCTCAAAGTTTTAAAATGATGCAGAATGTTATTTGTAACATGCCTATTCTTGTAACTCAAGACTTCTGAAAATGGCCGGGGCCCGACATACCTGAGGGACCGCCTTTCCCCATATGTACCCTCAAGAGCACTTCGGTCAGGGACTCAACATCGGCTAGTGATTCCAGGCCCCTGGGAGGCAAGGCGTGCCGCAACTAGGGCCAGATCCTTTTCAGTGGCGGCTCCTACCTGGTGGAATGAGCTCCCGGAGGAGATCAGGGCCCTGCAGGACCTCATACAGATCCACGGGGCCTGCAAGACGGAGCTCTTCCGCCAGGCGTTCACTTAGGAGCCGCCACTACCACCACCGCCAACGGCGTGGGTAACAACTGGGTAAGAGGACAGCCCTTGAAGATCTGCCATGATACCGTGCTGGGTGGGTACCACTGGACTGGCCGCGTACCAGCTACAGGCCATTACCTACCTCCAAGGAAAGATCCGGCACCTACCATTGGAATAGCATCTTGTTCTTTATAGAGCACTTTACTTTTGTGATTCAATGATTTTATTTTTGTTTTAAGCTGTTTTAATCTTGTTTTATATGTGGGCATTGTTGCCCTCTTGGTAAGCCGCCCTGAGCCCGCTCTCGGGAAAGGCGGGGTAAAAATCCTAATAAATAAATAAATAAATAAATAAAATCTGTACCAATATGCACGTAACATAATTTTAAGTTCAATAAAATTTGGCGGGTGGGGGGGGAATTACTGGATTGTCAGTGTTCCAAATATGCTGGAAGTTGTTTGTGAACATATTAAGCTGCCCAAACAGTGTAAAGAAAAAGAAGAAGAAAGGTTAGAGACTCCTATTTTAGAGTGTCCAACTAGGATCCGGGAGGCCCAGTTCTGAATCCCCTCTGCAAAAGAAGCTTGCTGGGGGACCTTGGGCCAGTAATACACCATTAGCATTGCCTACCTTGCAGGGCTGTTGTGAGGATAAAAACAGGGAGGGGGAATGACGTAAGCTGCTTTGGGTCTGCATTGGGGAGAAAGGCAGGCCAGAAATGAATAAGATTAATAAATTTTGCCGGGGGCGGGGGTAGTCTCAGTCAATGCTCCCTCTAAGCTGTGTAGTGAGCAAAAATTCTACTTTGTGAGCTACTGGCATTAAAGTTGGGAGCAAGCGATTTGGCTACTGCATAAATTAGTTTGCTCTGGAGCCGTCCTTCCAGTGGCACCTTTAAGACCAAGTTTTAATTCAGGTACAAGCTCTCCCTCCTCTGCGAGGACAGAGCTGCATGTCCCCCCCCCAATAGCTAGCAATCCAAAACAGTCCAGCGGAGCCTGAGCGGTGGTTGTTGCCTTCCGACACACTTCCGGTGATGTCAGGGGGTGTGGCATATGCAAAGTTATGCTAATTAGTTATGCTAATGAGCTCCTGCACCTCTTTTTCTATGAAATGACCCCTGGTTCTAACACAGAATGTATGCACAGATGACTTGCCTTGACTGTACTCAATAAACTCCACTCTTCTGAACGGGAGTTGTTGGGAACTGATTGCTGCGGGACTCCGTCAGCCACCTACCTGCTCATGATACTCAATGCCCATGCTCAACGTGTTGATCAAGATGGCGATCATGATCCCGCGGTTGAAGTACTTGCTCTCCACGATCCTCTTCAGCTTGTTGCCGAAGGCCTTCCAAAGCCGGGAGACTCTGTTCCTCTCCTTTGGTTTCTTCTTCTTCTTCTTTTTCTTCTTCTTGTTCCTCTGCTGCTGGATCTGGTCTCGCTGGTCCCCGTGCTTCACATCCTGGGTGAACTCGTAGACCCCGGCGTTGTCCTCGTCGGACTCGTAGCTGTCTGACTCGCTGAACTCAAACTCGGGGTCCTCCAAAATGCTGGCACAATACGGGCAGTTCTGCAGCTCGCAGTTCAAGATGCTGGCCTGCGGGCTGGGCAAGGAGCATGGCACGTTCAAACCGGACAGCCTGCTGGACGTCCGGCAAAGACCTGCAACGCAAAGAACTTATTTGCTCCATTTATTTAGTCAAATTTTTTATCCCCCAGTTTAACAGTGATATAAAAAATTATAGTCAGAAATATCGGAAGGGCTGTCATGTAGAAGATGGAGCAGATCTATTCTATTCTCTCTTGCTCCGGATTGCAAGACTAGATCTAATGGGTGGAAATTACAAGGGAGTCGATACCGGCTAAATATCAGGACAAACTCCCTAACTGTAAGAGTGGTTGAGCAGTGGAACAGACTGCCTCGGGAGGTGGTGGATGCTCCTTCGCTGGACGTTTTCAAGCGGAGGCTGGACGACCATCTTTCGGGTATGTTGTAGGGCTATCTTTCGGCTAAGTTCCTGCAGAGGGCAGGGGGTTGGACTAGATGACCTGCAAGGTCCCTTCCAACTCTAACATTCTATGATTCCAAGTCCTGACAGTACCTTAACAAGTATCTTTAGTACCCTAGTACACCATTCATCTGGTCCAGGAGACTGGAATTCATCCAGAAGTAGCTACGTATCCCAACCAAGTCCCCCTAAATCACGATCTCCATTGTTATCCTCTTTTCCATTCATGCTACTTTTACCAGATTGTTCACAATTCCTCTTTTGGGAGACAACCGAGGCAAAATAGTTCTTGAGCAATTCCAACTAACTTCGTAAATTCCACAAATATGTCCCCTTCCTCGTCGATCAGCAGGCTTACCATTGGCCCAATCTGCATCTACCATTTGCTCCCCTGTTTTACCCAGGGCTCTTTTTGCAGCAGGAACTCCTTTGCACATTAGGCGACACACCCCTAATGTAGCCAATCCTCCAAGAGCTTACAGTAGCCCCTGTAAGAAGAGCTCTGTAAGCTCTTGGAGGATTGGCTACATTAGGGGTGTGTCGTCTAATAGGCAAAGGAGTTCCTGCTACAGAAAGGGCCCTGTCCACATTGGAACAGAAAAAGATGCAGCTCAAAACAGCATTCAAATACCCCAGGGGGCCAATGCCCCTACTGACTGCAGAGTCATCCCTGAATGGCCATAAATCTAGGCAGACGGCTACCATAAAACCGAGAGATCAAACTATGAATCCGAGTCTGCAGTTGTTTCTAGAGACCTGGCCCTTGTTCCATTTCCTATACATACCCCCTTTTCCCCAAAACATATCCCTTAGCTTTTTGATGATGATGATGAAGAAGAGATTGGATTTATACCCCGCCCTTCACTCCGAGTCTCAGAGCAGCTTACAAACTCCTTCCCCTTCCCCTTTCCACAGCAGACACCCTGTGAGGTAGGTGGGGCTGAGAGAGCCCTTTCAAGAACTGCCCTTTCAAGAACAGCTCTAACAGAGCTATGGCTTGCCCAAGGTCATCCAGCAGCTGCAAGTGGAGGAGTGGGGAATCAAACCCAGTTCTCCCAGATTAGAGTCCACACACTTAACCACTACACCAAACTGGCTCTCCCTGAATCCACATTGGATTCTTTAGACATCTCCCACTTTCCTTTCTCACTGGTAATTTTCGCAGTTGTTCCATTAGCGACTCCTTTTTTTTAGAAACTTCCACCCATCTAGACCCTGAACCCTTCCCAGGGTTTCTCCAGCCCTTATGGCTGTGAAAACATGTGCGTGGCCTGCAGAAACTTCAGACGCCAAAGAAGAGTTGATCAAACGTGATTTCCAGTCACTGGAGGCGGGACTGTGACCGGAATAGCGCTTTGCCCCTTCCCACGAGTACTTGAATTAGAATAAATTATGCAAAAAACAGTCTCATTTGCGGAATGCGTTATGCAAAACAAGAGACATGATGCAAATCTGCTCAATTTGCACAATTTATACAGGCCCCATTAGAGCTCAGGGGATGCACTTGTCCAGAGTATAAGGCAGTGCTCGCTGATAGGGATAATTTATGTCCTCCATGGCTTGGGATAGGGGAAAAAAAGGCAATGACAAAATGTACAGACATTTTGTACACACATTTTGTACAGAAATGTACACAGCCAAGGCATGATGGCTCCATGCGATGGAGACATGCATCTTACACACAGGCCTCTGACACTGAACACCACGGTCAGCAGGCCGCACTTGGTCCATACAGTGCAGGAAAGGAGAATTTTATGTTTTTATGGTATTAAAATTGTGTACATCGCCTGGACGCCCACAGTTGTTGGAATTAGGCAATTAATAAAAGTAATGTAATAAATACATAAATAATTCCATAACCCATGACATTTATGAAGAAGAAGAAGATGACGAAGAAGAGGAAGAGGAGGAGGAGGAGGTTGGATTTATACCCCGCCCTTCAATACCCAAAGGAGTCTCAGAGCGGATTACAGACTCCTTTCCCTTCCCCTCCCCACAACAGACATGCTGTGAGGTAGGTGGGGCTGAGAGAGCTCTGACAGAAACTGCTCTTTTTCAAGAACAGCTGTGCCAGAACTACGGCTTGCCCAAGGTCATCCGGCAGGGGCAAGTGGAGGAGTGGGGAATCAAACCCGGTTCTCCCAGATTAGAGTCCGCGCACTTCACCACTACACCAAAGTGGCTCTCACACAAAACTGGCTCTCACACACCTTTTACAGAAGTCCATCATTTCTTTTTGTCTAGCACGGGCTCGGAACAACGTGAAGAAAACTTCTTACCACGTTCTCCTACCAAATGATGGAGTTTCCCGTAAGGATCCACATTCAAGTGAACCGGGCTGTTGACCATAGCCACAGGGGTGCCGCTGCTGCTGCCACCATTTTTCTTCCCTTTGGACACCGGCGCGACCACACCCCTGCTAGCGGGAGAAGGCAAGATGGTGGGGTAGTTCATGTTGCCGCGGTTGGTGAGCTTGATGCTTGCCGAGACGTTGGAAGACTTGCATGTCATCTGAGCCCCTTCCACGTGGCAGTCGGCGTGGTAGATGCTGTGTACAGACTCCGAGTCCGGCGCTGAGGAGCTCCGGACATTGGGGGACGGCGGCGGAAGCATGAGTTGGCTTCCAGGTTTCATGACCTTCAACTCCAGGTCGCAGATCTCTGGGTTTGAGCACGGCCCTTGGGGGCTTCCGTTGCTGATGTGGTAGTGGTGGTGGTGGTGATGGTGATGGTGGTGGATCAGGTGGTGGATGGACGTGATGCGCTTTTTGCTCCGGTGGCCTTGCCCGTTGGCGCCGCTGTTGGGGTCGACCTTTTTCCGCCGCTTGCTCTGCCAGTTGTTGTAGAGGCGCAATGTCCGCCGTTTTACTTTCCTGAAAATGTGGCAGATGTACTTGAGGAGTTCATCATAGCAGCTTCCCGGCTCGGAGAAGCTGGCGATTGTGCTGTCGTTCGAGAGGTAACGGGCCCGCTGCTCTTGCATCAGCTGGTTTTCCCGCTGTTTTGTTTCAGAAAACTGTGTTGCTATCACAACTAGGCACAAGTTAATCATGAAGAAAGAACCAACCTGGGGGGGAACCCAAATGGAAACAGGTCAGAAACAAACGAGATATGCTACCTTCCTGGCCTTTGGAGTTTGGAAATCAAATGGATATTTTGGGGGGAACTAAAACCAACCTCCCTAACGATTCCCATGTTGAAATAAATGCTAGGTCTTTCAGGTCCCAACAGGTTTTGAAAGCCAATGTTGGGGAGGATCGACTGATTTCCTTCATTTCTCTTCTCTGCCCCAACCGTCCAAGATTCATAATTCATGACATCAGACATGAACTCATACAACATCTAGGATCATCAGAGTTACCCCCAGAGTCAGGTAGTACAAAGCAGCTCGGGAGAAGTAGAAGAGTTTGGCAAGAGAATTATGGCTTTCATTTGGATGACTGTTCTAGCAAGTCTTTGGAGAAATCATTGTTTTATTGGTTTTCAATGCTGTGGACCCAGACACCCTGTTGGGTCTACTCAGAAAGCCCAACGGCACTTGGAGGTCTATGCTTTTCTGAGCCTTGGCTATACTGGTTTTTTTTTGGTATTTTTGAAAGCTGAATAAAGATCAGAGAATTTGACTGGCTACCAGTAGAGCTGATCCTGTATAAAGCCGATTTTCCCGAGCTTTTTCAGCCATTTTCGGCTATACCGAATAGCTGGTGGTGGAGAGGTTTAAAGTGCTACAAAGTAACGTTCCCTTCTCCTTTAAGGCTCTTTCCCGCCTTTTGCTCTGGTTTCCAGGGCAACAGGGGGGAGATCCATTTCTGCGGCCCAATGGCAAAAGCACCTTAGGGGATGCTGTAGAGCCTTAGGAGTAATCCTTGCGATGCTTTTGCAAATGCCATGGCACTGCAGGTTTGCAGCTTGCAAGGTCTTTTGGCTTCAAATGTGAAGTCCAATTAAGTAATTGCCTTGCTTTCCCACCCATTCCCAGGGAACAGTTCGAGTATTTCGGAGAAGGAGAAAAAGTTCTCTTTGTCAACTCCCTCCATCCCATGCGTAATTTTACAAACTTGTATCAGGTTTCCCCCTAAGTTGTCTCTTTTCTAACGGAAAAGTCCCAGCCTCTTCAACCTTTCCCCACAGGGAAGGGGCTCGAATCCCCTAACCATCTTAGTTTACCCTCCTCTGGATTTTTTCTAGCCCTGCAATGTCCTTTTTGAGATATGGTGACCAGAACTGTACGCAGTATTCCAAATGAGGTCACACCAGGGGCAATGTCATATGATCGGCTGTTTTATTTGCAATCCTTCATAAAGAGAGATGACAGGCACGCCGACCTCTCGAGGCCTGCCCCATACTTACTATTATAAGTAGTATAAAATATATAAAATTGTAGAAAGAGTGCGCATCCATGACATAGTACATGATGTCGACCCATCCTTCCAGGGTGATAACCTGCAGGAAGGACAGAGAGAGAGAGAAAGAGAAAGAGAGAGTTTACCACTGGAAGAGGATTGATGAAGGGGAGAGATTTATGCCCAGTTTTATTTCCCCCACAACTAGATATCTTGACCATGAAAAACTTCCTTCTATGCAATCTGACCCTTGACCTATCAAGGTCAGTCTTTTTTTCTTTGACTGGCAGTAGCTCTTTGGGTTTTCCCAGTATTACGTGCAGGAAGTCCCAGGTTCAATCCCTGGCATCCCCAGTTGAAGGACCTAGGCCAGCAGATACAAGGAAAGGATCTTCCTCTCATTGAGGAGGAGATTGGATTTTATACCTCGCCCTTCACTACCCAAAGGAGTCTCAGAGCGGCTTACAAACTCCTTTCCCTTCCCCTCCCCACAACAGACACCCTGTGAGGTAGGTGGGGCTGAGAGAGCTCTTTTGAGAACTGCTCCTGAAGGAACAGCTCTGAAAGGACTTGTGACTGACCCAAGGTCACACCAGTAGCTGCATGTGGAGGAGTGGGGAATCAAACCCGGTTCTCCCAGATTAGAGGTCACACTCCTAACCACTACACCAAACTGAGCCCCTGGAGACTAGCTACCAATCAGAAGAAACAATATGGAGCTGGATAGACCAATGGTCTCAGTATAAGACAGCCTCATATTCTCATACGCCCTCACACCTCCTAATATTGTTTCCTACCTCATGTCTGTGCTCAGCTACCTCTCTCCAATAGCACCATAGCCCTGTTTCCCCTCACTGTAACATGGTGAGTCGTCCTTCTTCTTTCACATTTCTGAGCAGTCAGAATGTTTGTGAGGATTCCGTAGCACCTCAGTAGCGGAACCAACAACTAAGAAGGTCTCTCTTCAACATCCTGAAGCCAATGACGATTTCAAACACACATCTTTATCCTCCCTGCTCCCGGTTTTGTCCGATACGAGAAACCACACTGGTAAACAAAAAGACATGAAACTTTCCGGCAAACCTACATTCTCTTGGCTTTAATTTGATACCTCAAGCCATCTCTTGACCAAGTCAGTACGCGTCCGACTAAATTACCCCAAATTGGCCTTGACTCTGCAAACAGAGACGCAGATCAACGCCGGGCTTCTGCTGACGTCCGCGGGAGACCGCAGGGCAAGTTCTGCCAAGATGTGTGGAGGCCGGCGGCAAAGATGTCTTCACGGGAGGAATATCATTGCACTAATGAGGACTCCGTAGGTAACCCAAGGAGAGGCCTACGGTCCGTCCGGGACCTGCGTCTGCCTAACACTGACAGCGCAAACAACTCCAAAGTTGGAGGCTTCAGGATAAATGGAGTGCAGTGTCAACCATCTGTCAGCAGAGGAGGCAGAGGCCCACCCATTAAGAATGTGGTTCCTCAAGGGACAGATGGAATCTGGCCAAAAGCATCTCCCCAAATGCATCAGCTTCAGTAGCCAGAGTAAAACCAGCAGAACCAACTCCTGTCCTACCGTTGGGCTGCCAGCTTCCAGGTAAGACACTAAACATGAAAGACACGGCAGACTTGGCCAAGCTGAAAAATCAGCGGTGGCTGAACGTAGCCTAACTCAAACATGACACAGTATTTTATTCCAAGACACTGAAAGGCTGGACAAAACATCCAATTACCATGTCAGCTTACACAGGGAAGCCATTGAAATTCATAAGGTAAAGGTAAAGGTTTCCCTTGCTCGAAAGCCAGTTGAATCCGACTGTAGGGGTGCAGTGCTCATCTCTGTTTCCAAGCCGAAGAGCCAACGCTGTCTGAAGACTTTTCCGTGGTCATGTGGCCGGCATGACTAGACGCCAAAGTGCACGGAATGCTGTTACCTTCCCACTGAAGTGGTACCTATTTATCTACTTGCAATTTCTTGCTTCCGAACTGCTAGGTTGGCAGGAGCTGGGGCCAGAGACGGGAGCTTACTCCGTCATGCGACACTTGGGTCTCGAACTGCTGAACTACCGACCTTCCAGTCCGCAGTTCAGTGTTTTAACCCGTGAGCCACCGCAGCCCCTTGAACACAATTTCAACAGGAAAGAAGAGAGTTTAAAAATAAACAGGGCATGGTTTCCTGTCCTGAAAAAACACAAAATGCTCTACATCTTACAACAGCACTACAGATAAGATTAGAATTTCAACAGCCCATCCATATGCAAAAGAACCTCCTCAGGAAAGCTCCTCCATAGCATGTCACATCCTGTGGACCTCCTACAAGATACTGACTCAGCCCTACCCCACCTTCCTGCCTACCATTTTTCTTCTCACCTTGACACAGAGAGTACTCCACTTTTCTGTGTTATACCTCTGAGGATGCCAGTCACAGGTACTGGCGAAACGTCAGGTCCTACAATGCCAAGATCACGGCCATGATCTCTGTAGTCTGGAGACTGGTTGTAACACTGGGAGATCTTCAGGAAGATATGCAAAAGTATATAGCACTGTGTATAATAGAACAGCTGCAGTGGCTCAGTGGTTAAGATGCTGAACTGCAGGTCAGAAGGTCAGTAGTTCGGCAGTTCAAGACCCGAGTGCTGCGTGATGGAGTGGGCTCCTGTCTCTGGCCCCAGCTCCTGCTAACCTAGCAGTGCGCCTCTGCGTCTAGCCATGCCAGCCACATGACTACAGAGACGTCTTCAGATCGCATTTTCCACGCCGAGAGGGTGGCAATCCAAGTCTGACGCTGCCATTTCCTCCACTGATAATTCTGGGAGAACTCCAAGCACTACCTGGAGGTTGGCAGCTCTGTGACCACTGCAGAACTGCAGTTTTCCTTCAGAGCACAGAGGTCGGAATGTATACTGTTGTATAAATACTGGTGTCAAATATTATCAACAACCAGTTTCTCCCAAACCATACATCAGAGTGCCAGTTTACATTCTGTTCACATATTCTGTTCACGTGTTTGAACGTAAACCTGCACTTCGATGTATTGTTTGGGTGAAACCGGTTTTTGATAATATTTGACACCAGCATTTATATAACAGTATAATTTTTAAAAAAATAAATAAATAAAATAAAAAGCTGACATCGATCTACTTTAAACATATGTCTATTATACACAGTGCTATATACTTTTGCATATCTTCTTTTTTTTCAAAGTATCTGAGGGTACACGTTTATTATTTTTTCCCATTATATACTACAGACATACAAACATACATACAACATATAACATATAACAAGGGACTTTATCATTTCTTCTGCTTATTAAATTTCTAAATTCATTATCTATTTTACTAAGCTTATCTTTTCTGCGTTCTCAAATTACTACATTTATCTATCAGTTGCATTTACATTATACCAATCGTAGAATCTCTTCGAAGTTTTTTGAAAAGTCCATTCTGTGCCGGCTCTCATCTCAAGTGTCAGTTTGTCATTTTCCGCCGTTTCAAATAGTTTGTTCACGTACTCTTGTTTTGTTGGTATTTCCATTATTTTCCAATATTTGGCATATACTATCCTTGCAGCTGTCGACATATGAACTATCAAATACCTATCTGCTTTATCAAAGTCTTTCGGAAATATATTCAATAACAGTCTCTCTGGAGTAAACGGGATATCAGTTCTTATTATTTTTTCCATTATCTCATGAATCCATCTCCAGTACCTCTTTGTAACATCACATAACCACCACATGTGATAAAAAGAACCAGTCTTATTTTTACATTTCCAACATTTATCAGAGCGATTAACTATTATACACAGTGCTACGTACTTTTGCATATCTTCCTAACACTGTGACCCTCAGTTTTCGCATTTTCCACGCCGAGAGGGTGGCAATCCAAGTCTGACGCTGCCATTTCCTCCACTGATAATTCTGGGAGAACTCCAAGCACTACCTGGAGGTTGGCAGCTCTGTGACCACTGCAGAACTGCAGTTTTCCTTCAGAGCACAGAGGTCGGAATGTATACTGTTGTATAAATACTGGTGTCAAATATTATCAACAACCAGTTTCTCCCAAACCATACATCAGAGTGCCAGTTTACATTCTGTTCACATATTCTGTTCACGTGTTTGAATGTAAACCTGCACGTTGATGTATTGTTTGGGTCAGGTTCCATCCCCCTTAAAGTAGGGCTTGAAGCTTCCAAAGAGAAAGGTCCATCCTAGGCGGTTCTTCTACCTTCAAGTCCAGCCTCACCCCTAGGGACGCCAGCCTCCGGGTGGGACCTGGGGATCCCCCGGAATTACACCTCATCTCCAGACTACAGAGATCAGTTCCCCTGGAGAAAATGGATGCTTTGCAGGGCGGACTTTGTGGCATACCCCTCTGAGGTCCGTGTCCTCCCCAGGTTCCATCCCCAAATCTCCAGGAGCTTCCCAACCAGGATCTGGCAACCGTACCTCCCCGGTTCCCACCAGTGGCTAGGGGTAACCTAGCAACACTATGACCTAGGCGAGGTTACCCACTTTGGTTTCGGGGGCAGAACTGTGATGGCACTCTGGGCCCCTCTGAAGCTGCCATTGCACGATGAATGAACAGATACATGAGGGTTTCCCCAACAGGCCAAACTGCTAATCTCTGGGACCATGGCAGGTCAGGAAAAAGGCTACAGGAGGCCAAGTCCCCTTCAGCATACACGCTGCGTCTTGATTCGAACACCCTTCCTGCCTCTTGGAACCATTACACCAGAACCATACATCCCAGTCAATATTCTTCTGAGACCATACCACTTTAAGAACATAAGAGGTGTCCTGCTCGATCAGACCGATAGTCCATCCAGTCCAGCATCCCGTCTCACACAGTGGCCAGCCAGTTCCTCTGGAGGGCCAGCAACAAGGCATAGAGGCCGAGGCCTTCCCCTGAGAAGAGCCTCAGAAGAGCCCTGCTGGATCAGACCACTGAGGGTCCCTCTAGTCCAGCCTCCCGTCTCACACAGGGGCCAACCAGTTCCTATGGGGGGGGGGGGCAACAACAGGGCATAGAGGCCTTCCCTTGAGTAGAACATCAGAAGAGCCCTGCTGGATCAGACTAGTGGTCTATCTAGTCCAGCATC